CTGATCCAAGAAACTGAATGCAGTGGACAACAGAATAGTATATGTTGTAAAGATTCTATAGATCTATTATCACATACACACACCGCTGAGATCTGACCATTGGAAAATCTATTATTCAAGACATTGGAAGGAAAGGCGTTAAATCTTGCCTTAATAAAGGCATATCTGTGGGCCGCTACAGACAAAGAAGTCAAATAAGATGGTATCTGCTGTGAGGGGACTATGCCAAGATTTAATGGTGAGCAAGTGCCACTACCCAAAATGGTGTTTTGTTGTAGGTCAATCTCCTCAAGTTTTTGAGTGAGGGTTTTTTTTGCTGTGGCTAGGTCCAATTCCAATAATTCTGATGGAGACAATCCATAGGTCACTACTTTAGAATGGATCTCTTTTGCCCCTAGGACGGGAAAATTATCTCTCCAGAGGCATTGGATCAAATACAGGTTCGGGAGTCTATGCCTTAAGGACAACCAGTAACAAAGGCTACGCCTCCAAAGAGTATTTTCTAAAGATGTAGTTTTTAATTCTAAGCGAATAGCTGCGTTACTAACGCACTGAGGGAGTTTTAGCAGTCGTCTTAGAAATTGATTTTGAATTACCTCCAAGGGCATCAAGTTTACTGCGGTCCCCCATAAAGGAACAGCATATGCCAATGTTGCAATTACTTTAGCTTTGAATACTTTCAAGGCAGATGGAACATGAAGAGCCCCGTCCGAAAAGAAAAAGCGCAATAGCGCAAAGGATAGAGCTGTCCGGAGACACTTCCGGGTCACGTGGCCAGCGTGACATCGCTGCTCTGGCTAGCCAGAGCCGCACACGGAAACGCCGTTTACCTTCCTGCTAGAAAGCGGTCCCTATTTATCTACTTGCACCCGGGGGTGCTTTCGAACTGCTAGGTTGGCAGGCGCTGGGACCGAGCAACGGGAGTGCACCCCACCGCGGGGATTTGAACCGCCGACCTTTCGATCGGCAAGCCTTAGGCGCTGAGGCTTTTACCCACAGTGCCACCCGCGTCCCTTCCTGAGCAGCAGTTAGGGGTGGACAATTCTGATAGAGTTGATGGTGAGCGTAAGCTGTTTGTTATGTACTGAAGTTCTCACCCTGGGGCAGCAGGGGGATACTGTAGTTTTCACTCAGGTCCACATATGCAAGTAAGGAATTGAAAGTGACGTTCAATGATTGGATAGTTACAGAAAGTTGTTACTGTTGCGTTGTAGTGGAGCTCTATATAAGCAGGCTGGCTGAACCCTTCAGTTCAGTTCTGTTCTGGCCTGTGAATAAACAAGAGATGTTTGAAGAATCGCTGTGTCATCTGATATGTTCACCCACAATTTAACAGGGTTAAAGCCCCCTTTCCTCCTCACCACAGTCCTAGTGCCCCACAGTCACCATGTCTGCTATTTTGGATTTGAAATGCCACTCAGGGGCTCTCTAGATGTCGTTTACATTGTGCACTCGTGATGATATATGTGATCCCTCTTTCAGTGCAGTTCTTGTTATTATTTATTAGCTTTCTATGCCGCCCTTCATCTGAGGATCACAGGGGTGGTTTACAATATAAAAGCACAAAAATACATAATAAAGTACAGTCGTACCTCGGCTTCCGAATGCCTTGGGAGTCAAATGTTCCGGCTCCCGAACGATCAAAAACCGGAAGTGAGTGTTGCAGTTTGCAAACGTTCTTTGGAACCCAAACGTCCGACGGGGCATCCATGACTTCTGATTGGCTGCAGAAGCTACCTGCAGCCAATCAGAAACTGTGCTTTGGAAGTTGGACTAATGGAACGGATTCTGTTCGACTTCCAAGGTACAACTGTAACACACAAAACCAATACTGCCTCACCCCAGTTTGAAAGGCCATAGATTCTCAGCACATGCAAAGTTTTAATGGTGGGGCATACTGCTTTGTTGCTGATCTGTGCATGTGCTAGAACTTCCTGTCGAAAACCTGTAACCTTTTATATCACACAGGTTCCCGTGTCCTGCTTTTGTTGCACTATGGTGCAAGAGTGGCCCTTCCAGATAGCAGTAATGTGACAACATCATCGGAGAAGCATTGCAGGACAACTAATAAAGCGGATTGAGGTGTGGATGGTTCTGTAGAAATTCACCACTGATGCTCTCTGATTGCATAAATGACATGTTGCAGAATTCATCGACAAGAAGAAAAGCAAAGAAAAAACATTAGTGTAGAGGGGCCTTTGGTTTTAAAATACTAACGCATTTAATGCAATGTGCATTTTGACCCCGAGTTCTCACGTATTCCCGTGTATTCCTAATAAGGAGGGGTTGTTTGGTTGAAGCCGAATGGCAGTTTTGCTACATCACAAGAGATGGAGTTCTAGAATGCAGAATGTAGCTGGGAAGAGTGGTTTTGACCTAATGTTGGGTATATCTCCTAGAAGTGGTGTGCTGTTGGTGCGGCCTTAAAATGTAGGATCTTGGGAGAAGCAGAGCCGTCAAAATATGAGCCTGGGATGACTTCTAAAGATTCTGGAACTAAGACAAGACTGTACCATGTGGATGGACATAATCTGACAGCTAGTTTTTTCAGAGGGCTCTCTACTGGACTGAAGAAGCCTTGATAGAAGTTTCAGCCTTTTGCTGGGAGAGACGGTGTACAGAACAAGAAATGTCTTCCCTCCCTTTGAAGACTAGGATGAAGAATCTATGGATCTGAAGGAGAAACCAGACAGGTGAGATTCTTTTTCAGGGGTGGTGGTACATATTGTGAAGACTACTGTACTATGATGCCCCTCTCCATCTCAAGAATATGGCCTTGGGTGTGAGAATGAGTATTGCCACCCTTCTCCAGCATTCTGCCCAGTCAGATGCATATGGGGGGGGGGACTTTTATCTATCCACTTTCTGCATACCTGTACTATGTGTAAATTTATAAACTTCCATCCTATCACCTCTTACAAGTCTTTTCTCAAAGTTTTCTCATAGTGCGGTTGTACCCATTACGGCTGCTTTAGAGAGATAAATTAAACAGGTGCAAGATTCATGATCATAGAGGTGAAATACTGAAGTTGCACCTTTGAATTTGAGGATCTTGTGCACTTTTAAGAGAGCACAGGAGAAAAGAGTGGCAAGCCAAGCTAGCGATTAATGGAGCGCATGGTCGCCCAAATTATGGAATGAGGGTAAAGGGCACTTCTGAACATGTGCCGAGTGCACAACCCTTTTGCCACCAGGTAGCCTACTAACTATACTCATACTGTATATCTGAAAATATACCCTAAAACACATCTCCATCCCTAGGACTGAATGCTGGTTGAAATCAAGTCCTCCCTCTTGACTTGTGAATGATAAGCAGGTGGAATTATATTTTGATAGAGCCGGCTTCAGTTAGCATGAGAATAGCTTTAGAACCATTTTGTATACTCCTCTATCAATCCCCATAGGTAGTCAAATATCTGTTTTATTTATTGCATTTATATCTCACCTTTTTCTCCAAGGAGCTCAGGGTGGCGTACATAGTTTTCCCATCCTCATGTCTTCCCCACAACCCTGTGAGGTAGGTTTGGCTGAGAGGCAGCAAATGGCCCAAGGTCACCCAGTGAGCTTCATGGCTGAGTGTGGATTTGAACCTTGGTCTCCCAGGTCCAAATCTGACACTCTTAACCAGGGGTCAGCAAAATTTTTCAGCAGGGGGCCAGTCCACTGTCCCTCAGACCTTGTGGGGGACCAGAATATATTTTGGGGGGGGGGATGAAGGAATTCCTATGCCCCACAAATAACCCAGAGATGCATTTTAAATAAAAGGACACATTCTACTCATGTAAAAACACGCTGATTCCTGAACCGTCCACAGACTGGATTGAGAAGGTGATTGGGCCACATCCGGCCCGCGGGCCTTAGGTTGCCTACCCCTGCTCTTAACCATTAAACCATACTGGCTCTTACATAAAAGTAAGGCTTAATCTTGTCCAAGTTGCACACTGTGGTTTAACTGAAGCCTGCATTGAATACCAGGCTTTTGCCTTGAAATGTGAAATTGTAATGAGGGTGCCCCTGAGCATGTGCAGAATGCCTTCCCTTGTTATGTAGCAGTCATCACTTTAGCACAGCGAGAATTTGAGGAATTCCCGGTCACAAGGCAGGACTCCCAGAGTCTTTAACCCCTGCTGCTCTCATGCCAAGACGTTGGTGTGGATAAAATATATGTAATATTGCCTATTTCATATCTTTTGTTGTGGCTACTGAAAGCAGGTGCCATATTGCCTACTCTCAGCTTCCAAGTCTCATTGCTGGCTGTGCTGCAGAAAAGCTGCATCCATGTGATTTCTGCCTGTTAGGTACCTGCGAATCAACAGTGCATCAATCCCTAGATAGGGCTGCCGTATGTCTGGATTTTCCCAGGTGTGTGTGTGCAATTTCCAAAATGTGGAGCTTTGTCCTGGGTGTTAGGCAACTTTTGAGTCTTCCTAATCAGGTTGAATCCTGCCAACCTAGCAGTTCGAAAGCACGTCAAAGTGCAAGTAGATAAATAGGTACCACTCCGGCGGGAAGGTAAACAGCGTTTCCTTGCGCTGCTCTGGTTCGCCAGAAGCAGCTTAGTCATGCTGGCCATATGACCCGGAAGCTGTACGCCGGCTCCCTTGGCCAATAAAGCGAGATGAGCGCCACAACCCCAGAGTCGGCCACAACTGGACCTAATAGTCAGGGGTCCCTTTACCTTTAATCGGGTTGAAATATGGCAACCCTATAGTAGGGAAAACATAACTATCACAGGTAATGTGCCTTGGAAGAATGTGTATATTACGTACTCAGAATATAGGTATATTTTTTAAAAGTAAAGTCCATCGAAAAATCGCGGGTTTTTGGCTCAGTAACTTTCGCGGAGGTCCTTTTTGAAGTATGGCAACCCTACTTTTGGGGGGGGGGTTAGTGTTAGGAAGGAGGGCGGGACTTTCCACGAATGGGGTGGGTCTAACCATGAGTCTGGCTGCATCGGCCGGAGAGCGCGGCTTGGGAACATCTGTTTGCATTCGAGCTTGGAAGGAACAGCTGGGACTGGGAGAAAGTGCGCAGGAGGCGGAGGGAGGAGCGTCTGCGCGCGCGCAGCGTAGAGAGGAGCCGCAGCCGCGGACGGGCTGGTCACATTGGAGAGCGCATCATCGGGCGCATCAGCGGAAAGGGAAGTCGGAGGGCGTGCACACCCACTGCTCGGGCGGGCCCCTAAGCGACCAGGCAAGCAAGCAGGCAAGCGAAAGCCTTGAGCTTTTTTGGACAGCCGATCTGGATCCGGGGCCGGCCTCCCCGTCCAGCTTGCTTGGCGAGGCCCGCTCGCCTTTTGCTCCATGCAATGCACCGCCTCCCTTAGCGCGATGCAGCGGGCCGGAGGAGGAGCAGCGGCGGCGGCGGCGGAGCCCGGAGGCGGCGGAGGCGGCGAAGCGGTTGCAGCGGCGGCGGCCTCGTACCGGGTGCTGAGCCGCTTGCTGGGCTACGGCGGGGCCGAGTCAGCCGCAGCCGGCTTGGCGCTCGGCGGAGCCGTCGGGGAAAGCTCCGCTGCCGTCGCCGGCGATCGTGGAAGGGCAGGCGGGCTCCGAGGCTCGCAGCTGCTGGTCTTCCGCCCCGGCGAAGCGGGAGAGCCGTCGGGGGTTTCCCCGTCCGCCTGCCTGCCCACGCCTTCGACGCCTCGGCCGCCCTCGGAGCTGCTGTGCGCCAGGCACAGGTGCGCTCTCCTGGACGCGCCGAAAGGCGAGCCTGGAGGGGGACGATGCTGGAGCGGAGCGGCTGGCGGCCTCCTCTTCCCCCCGGGGGCCGGCCTGGAGTTGCAGCTGGCCGCCTTGGGGCTACACCAGGCTCCCCCGACGGCCCCGGGAGGGCCGGGCAAGCCTCCCGGAGATTGCCCGTGCCTGAGCCTCTTGCCTCCGCCGCCTCTCGCCCCTCCGCCCACGATGCCCTTGTTGCCCCCGGGGGAAGAGACCAGCGACGCCCTGCTCGTGTTAGAAGCTCTCGGCCCCGACGAGGAAGACGAAGAGGAGGTGGAAGCGGCTGTCGGGCAGGCAGATACCTCCAGCCCGGTCGTCGCGGCGGGTAGCCGCTTCCAAGCACCCGCTGCTGCAACCACCACGACCCCGGGTTCTCCTCCTCCACCACCTCCGGCAGGCCCGGTGCCCGCCGTCGGAGCCAACCGCCCGAGCTCCTCCGCCGCCCCCTCGAGGAAAGGCTCCTTGAAGATTCGCCTGAGCCGCCTTTTCCGCACCAAAAGCTGCAGCGGAGCGTCGTGCAACCCAACAACCTCCGCTGGTGCACGTCGGGCCGGGGAGAGGGAGCTGCTGCAAGCCGCAGCCCCCCGAGCCACCTCCGGCACGGCAGGGAGCCTCCCCGATGTGTCCCACCCTGGGTGTCGGGAGCAAGAGTCGGGCAGGTAAGAGGAAAGAATAGAAGGGGGGTGAGGAGAGGAAAGCTCTCGGGATCTGGTAAGGGACCGTCTGTTGGAGGAGTATCCTGGGTGTCAAAGGCTGAGCCTGAGACTATGGATGTAACAGTGGATTCTCAGGTGCTTGTTTCCTGGCTATGGATTCGGGTAGGGAGTCTGTGAAGCAGGGGTGCCAACTTGAATAAAATATGGGGGGGCCCAGGTAAGCCCCACCCTGCATAATCAAACACATGGCTTGCTGCACCCACAACATTTGAATGACAATGCCCATCAACTTTGGGGGGTCCTGCTCCCTCCAGTATTTTATTGGGGGAGTGCAAAGGAAACTCATTCTCCAGGAGTTGGGTCCTATGCTGTGAAGGATAGAGAATTTAGGTCTTGGCTTTTCTTGGGAAGCACCTCAAAAGAGAAGAGAGAATCTGTTCTCCCCCCCCCCCCAAATCAGTCTTCCTGGCTTCCACTTGGGATTAGGAGATTCCGCTTCCCACCCTTCTATCTGCAACCACCAATGGTTTGCATGCAGAAGGTTCCAAGTTCACCTGCTGCTCCATTCTTTTGACTGGAAAGAAACTTCTCTCCAGAGTCTGGAGAGCCACTGCCAGACATCTAGGTAGACCAATGTTCTGAGCTGGTATGATGCATCTTTCTGTGTTCTGTTAGACCTCCTAAGCCAGGCTTCCTCAAACTTGGCCCTCCAGATGTTTTGAGACTACAATTCCCATCATCCCTGACCACTGGTCCTGCTAGCTAGGGATCATGGGAGTTATAGGCTAAAAACATCTGGAGGGCCAAGTTTGAGGAAGCCTGTCCTAAGCCCTGAATACCAAAGGAGGACTTCACTAGTGACTGTGGAGGCTGGAGTTCTCTGGTGGCGAAAGGCTAGACGCTGTGAACTGCCTGGGAAGGCGTTCACACTTGATTCCCTTCCCCTCATGGAACAGGAGAGGCATCTCATTGGATTCTCTGAAGATTTGGAAGACCTTTGACTACAAAGGAACACCCTGGTGTTGGGCAGCTAGAGCAGGGGGAGCCAACATGGTGCCCACTGGATGTTGTGGACTACAGCTCCCATCAGCTCCAATAGCTAGGGATGATGGGAGTTGTAGTCCACCACATCCGGAGGGGCACCACGTTGGGTTACACGCAATCTCTAGGTGAGGGGTAACACGTAGTGGGGGAACCAGGAGATAAACAATGACTGGTGGGTTTTCTGTTTTTACTTGTCGCTTGGCAACGTAACTAAAGGTGGCTTATCTGAGACCTAGTGTTGTGTTTTCCAGTTGTGGACTTTAAGGCTTTAAGGTTGAGGGAACTAAACATGGATTTTCTCTGTGAGGCATAGGAGTGCTTTTTTTAAAAAAGGCCTTTGCTAATTTCACTATCCTAAGGGTTTAAGAGTAAATACTCTTGTGTTCAGGTGTTGGATTAGTGGCGGTACAGTGGCGGTATGGTGGATTCGCCAGTTTTTGAGGCCTAGATGTTTTGATGGAGAAATCAGAGTTCAAGGAGCATTGCATAGTAGGATGAGACTGGCCTAGTTGTAATTTTTCAGTTACATTTAGCGATAGTTCTTTATAAATAATAAATTTATTAGTATTATTGATGCTGTAGCACAGGTGTACCCTCCACACATTAATGAACTACATCTCACATCAGCCCTTGCAAGCATGGCCAATGGCCAGGGATGATGGGAGCTGTAGTTCAGTAGCATCTGTAGGGCCGTTGGTTCCCTGCACCCGCTGTGCTCCAAAGCTTTCTTAGTATAATTTATTATTTTTATCCTTAAAGCAATGTAGAGGCTAATGGACTCTTCTGGGCATACAGCAGAGCATATAACCCTGGGGTTCACGAACCAGTTCTCAACTTTGTAGGTTGCAGCTGGTGATTAGTATAAATTCTCTTTGGTCTGTTCTTTCACAGCTCAGTGGTAGAAGATGTGCTTTCCATTCAAAAGTTCCCAGGCATCTCCAGTAAATGGTGCTGGTGGAAAAGGGCATGGAAGGGCCTCTTTGCCTGACGCCTGCCAGTCACAGTAGAAAAGTCCGGGATAAAGAGACCAGTGGTTAGGGCAGCTTTATTCATATATGTTGCACCTAATGAAAAACCAAGGGGGTGTGTGTGTGTTTATTTCTTACAAATATTTTACACCCTGCCTTTCAGAATACAAAGCCTTCTGAGGCAGCTTACGAGAAGTATTAACTACTACTACTTTTGTTTTTAAGGCCCATGTGTGTGAAAATGGGTGTGAGTAAGACAGCAAGCAGGGATGGTAGAGTGGAAAGACCCTTAATTATTCGTTTTACTTATAAAGCCATTCCTATTCCAGTGGAAACTGGAGTTGGCTAGATTCCTGGGTTTGTATCTCTACTTAGACTTGAAGTTTGCCACTCACTCTTAGCTAGTTCTTGCTGAGGGGATGGGCTTGTGTCTGGTTCGTACCAATTCAGATTGTGTATGAGGTGTTGCATGATGGACTCCTCCTCCTCAACAACAATGCCAAAATGCTGGTTTTCTTTATGGAGGAATTGCATGTGTTCATGGAGGAATATTCCACCATGTTGACCCCTCCTTCCATGCTGTGTGGTTCAGCCCAGGTACAGATTTGTCATCTCTGTGAGGACTGGGCCATTGCACCTCCTGCTTCATAGGGGTATTGTGAATATAAAATGGGGACAGGAGGGGGTCAGGTATCCCGAACTTTTTGGTAGAAGGGTGAGAGAAAAACGAAATCAGTATAGCAATATGAAGAAGACACGTTTTTGGACTAATGCTCCAGAGGGAATCGTGCGAAGAAAGAACATCGTATGTCTTTGAGATAGAGTTGAAGAGACTTGGGAAGGATATTTTGTTGAGTAAATTGGGTTTATGCCACCCTCCACACTCTCTAGAGTGGTAGGATCTCACACTTTGGGGGTCTTCATGGACAGCCACCTCTTGTGTATGGTGTAGCTCTAGATTCCCTGCGTTGGAAAAGGGATTACCGGGCCTACAAGGCCTCTTCCAATTCTGGCCACATCTACATTTGAAACAAATGCCCTCCTGCAAAGAATCCTGGGAGCTGTAGTTTAAAGGTACCAGGAATTGTAGCTCTGTGGTGGGTAAGCCACAGTTCCCAGGATTCCTTGAGGGGGAATTCATATGGATGTGATCTCTAACTCCAGGCATAGTTGGCATGGATGGGTTCCATTTTGGTTCAAGGGGTGACTGGCTTTCACCTCTGAAGTGTGAGAAAATTCCCACCCAAAGTAAGATAGGATTCCCCCCCCCCCCCGGGCTGGACTTTGTTTCTGTCAAGTTATCTGTTGCTCTCGCTTACAAAATGTGGCCAAAATGGCAAAACATAACAGGTGTAACAAGAAACCAAGAGGGGACAAAATGAATTAAAGAGTGGGAAACATTTGTGGTAATACCTGAAAAATTATGGTATGCAAGCAAGTGCCTTGGTAGGATTAACTTAAATCGATCAGTTTAAATTATCATCAAAGATAAGCTGCAGAATAACTTAAAAATGGAGTAAAGTGGAAAATGCTGTGTTAAAAATTTAAATTAAGACAAGAAACCACAAAAGGTGGGAAGGGAAGTATTATGTATTGAATCCATGTGATTGTAAGGTGTGTATTTGTAAATTTTTGAAAACTGAGTATATATGTGTGTATGTATATAACACCTTTTCATCTTAAGGCATTTCAGTTACCTCATATACACCACAACTTTAAAACACACACCTCCAAAGGAAAAAATCTGGGAATTGTAGTTTAAGGTTGGTGGGAACTGTAGCTCTGTGAGGGGTAAACAACCCTTTCCAGGGTTCTTTGGGGCTCGGTCTGTGCTTTAAATTTATGGTGCGTACTGGAATAATTTGTGGTGTGTGTGCACTGTGTTCTACACTTCTGTTCCATGGTTTGGTTTTTGCTGCTGGGAGGAGAAGGTGGACTAAATTACCACCAATTTGTCAGCATGGCCCCTTGGAAAATTGGCTACTTAAAAATGTGTGATAGAATACAGTTTCCTGTTAACAAATGCTGACATAATTTGTGGCGTCTAGCCACATTTTCTGTTTGTGGTTTCTGGGCCCAGAAAATGGAGTACCATTGCAAATGTCCCTTGCTCTGCTCTGCTCCGCCCCCCCCCTCCATGATTAAAAGTTAGATTTGGGGGGTGGGTGCGCTTTCAAGTTAAGCACACCTGTGCAATGGCTGAACTGATGGCACGGTCAGTGAGAGTAAAAAAAGGATAGAACCTCTTCACTCACACTTGTCTGTGGTTAAAGATGGGCTGGGAAGGGGTGTGTTTATTAGGACTGGGCGATATATCGTCCAAAACTGGTTTGAAGTCAATATTTGTGATAATTGGTTTCATAATTTTTGACTTGGCCATATATTGCAGACTATGGTGTATGTGTACTAAATTACGATTCAGGAAAAAAACATGAAGCCAGCCAATGCCTCTACATAGCTCCATCCTTATTTCGGACATTGTGATACATCATTATATTGCGATGTCTAGCTGGTGATATATCATAACACTGAAAGCCAGATATGGCCCAGCCCTTATGTGTATATCTGTGTATAGAGTGGGACGCAGGTGGCGATGTGGGTTAAACCACAGAGCCTAGGGCTTGCCAATCAGAAGGTTGGCGGTTCAAATCCCCGCGACAGGGTGAGCTCCCCTTGCTCGGTCCCTGCTCCTGCCCACCTAGCAGTTCAAAAGCAAGTCAAAGAGCAAGTAGATAAATAGGTACCGCTCCAGCGGGAAGGTAAACGGCGTTTCCGTGCGCTGCTCTGGTTCGCCAGAAGTGGCTTAGTCATGCTGGCCACATGACCCGGAAGCTGTACGCCGGCTCCCTCGGCCAGTAAATTGAGATGAACTCCGCAACCCCAGAGTCATCCGCAACTGGACCTAATGGTCAGGGGTCCCTTTACCTTTACCTTTATGTATGGAGTGGGAAAGGGTGCAGTCAAAGCCGCTCTCACCAATAATAGCGACATTAGCATAGAAATTGACCTTCCTTGAAAAACAAATTGGTTTTTTTTTTTTAATGTCATAAAAGTAGTTTGAAAAATCCAAGCATAAAAGGGGCAGAAGTTGCAGAACAAGAGCAGGTTGATGTTTCATGAGCAAGCAAGCGTCATTTGTTTCCTGCCCTTCTAACATCTTTAACACAGAAATCCAGTTGACTCTGTAAAGTGACCACAACTTCTAAGGGAAACCTTATTGGGGTGCTAATGCCCCTGAAGAATGCCAGTCTTTCACCTTGGATACTAGCGATTCCCCAAATCGCTTCTAGTTAGATTGAGTTTAATAACTGCCACCATGGGGTCTAGAAGCTTCGGTGCATCTTAATTCTTAATGATGGGGGCTTAGAAGCCAGATGACGGCGCAGCCTTCTGATAGCTGAGGCATGCAATATTTTTTTTTCTGAATTAAAGCCAGGAGCCTGCTTCATTCTCCCAGGTGGAAAGTTATATTTAAGGCGTGTTTTAGAGTAAAACCTCAAACTCCCTAGATCAGCATCACAGGCTGAATGAACAGAATGATTGGGTTTGTCTTATTTACTTAAAATATTTTCACCCTGGCTCCCCTACCCTTTTTGAGGCTGCTTATGAGTTAACAATGCAGCACGATACCATTCATGCCTACTTGGAAGTAAGCCTCATTGAGCCAAATGACACTACAAGGTAAATGTGCATAGGAATGCAGCCCTATGAGGTTGCAAACCAGCCTGTGTTGAAATAGTGTCCTTCCTTGTTGCAGCTACCCTCTCCCTATGCTCCTTATAATCAGAGAATATAATTCAAAAGCAGAGTTTTTGGATCTCTTGAGGCAGCATTCGTGGGTAGAAGGATGGAGCCTCTGAGAGGTGAACAGACACCCAGCATTGTCTTATTTACAGGCTCATCTGTCCATCTTTTTTATAGAAAACAGAGATTGATGCGAACGCAAAGTGCCTTTTCTCCAGTTGCTTTCGGTCCCCTCTTCACAGGTGAGTGTCAAGCTTGATTTCTTTCTCCTTTTCCCTTGAAGGAAGTGCTTGTGGTTTTATTATCCTGTGCATGTATAATATGTTGCTGTGGGTCTTTAAACCTAAGAATAGTACCACTTTTATTTTATTTTAAAAAGACCCATAACTAGCTTTGGAGTGATTCTGCCTTTTTTTGGGGAGGGGAAACTGGTGCTATGCCCCTTCTGCTTGCCCACCCCCATGCCATTCCACCCCCCCCTTTGCAATCCAGGTTTGTGTTGAGGCACTACAAATCCTCTGAAGGGGGCTGCGTGATGACATCCTTACATTTTTATTATATCTCAGTGTAAGCATTTAAAAAATACTTTGTGCACATATGTGTCTGTGCGTGATATGTAATAAAACATATCTTTGCAAACACATGGCAGGATGAGACTACTCCTGTAGCCCAGCCTCCCTCATCCCAGCCGGCGTAACCAATGACCATGGATGATGGGAGTTGCAATTTAGCAACATCTGGGGACCCAGGATGGGGGAAAGGCTGCTTTAGAGAGTCCTTCCTCTTGCATTCTGGGGAGAGGGGTGGCAGCAGAAAACACTTAGTAAATCAGAGGGTGTCCAGTTGCTCCAGCTTTACCCAGGATACTCTAAAATTCACCACAATCAGTAAGCATCCTTAATTCCTGATTAGAGTAGATCAGTCCCTTGTGGATTAAAGGACTTTATTGGGGTGCAAACAACTCTGCCAGCAACTCACCTATATATAACAGCCCTAGGCTTTTTTAGGAGGAAGGGCTGAAAGGAAATTTAATAAATAAATACACTAACCCTCTGGCCGAGTTGGGTTTAATCTCAGCAACTAGATTGAGAGGACAAAAGCATTAGAGTGGTGCTAGGAAAATTTACATTGGCTCACCCAGATCAGAGAATATTATTATTATTATTATTATTATTATTATTATTATTATTATTAGCTTTAAAAAGTTAGTGGTTAAAAAAATAAACCCACAAAATCAGAGACCACAAAGTTGCATCTAAGGAAACACAGAGGGCAAAATGTTGATTCTAACCTCTAGCAGTTCCCTACTTGGTGTAACAGCAAGTAGGTTGCAGTTCAGTGTAACTATGAAGGACCTGAAGGAAAAGGCAGTGCTTTGGAGTCAAGACACCGAAAGTGTCTCTCCGCCCTTGTGGCAGAGGATGCATTTGAGAAACTAGGGAGCGGAGGATCTGACTCCATTCCAAACACCTTCTAGCAAAAGGAGGGCAAGCCTACGCGATCTATGGCTTGTTGCGTTCAGTGGAGCTTACTCCAAAGTTGCAATAGGAAGCGTGGCTTTGACTTCAACGCTAGAGAATAACTTGATTCATTTCCTGGTTTCAAATATAGGTCAGGGCAAGTTTATGCTCGTCTTATCCATTGCGTATTGTTTGGGGTGGGGAGATCATCACCAGGTGTATTACGCGCTGTTACTCATGGGTGGCCCATTCAGATACACACCATCAGATGGTGATCGTTAATTTCTGTCATTAACATTCCAGGGATACAGGGTTGCTTTCCATGCAAGTCTTACTCAGAGCAGACCCATTGAAATTAATAGACATGACTAACTTGGGGACCATTAATTTCAGTGGGTCTGCTCTGAGTAGCACCTAGCTGAATGCAGCTTGTGGTTTCTACATTTGCTGTATTTAGACGGTGCACAGATTAAGCTCTTCAATTTAAAGGGTGTGTGTTTTGGGGAGGCATTTCTGTGTTGTTCGACGTCATCCCTCTTTGAGATGTCTAGAAATCTTCTGAATTTGACAAGTCATGAAGGTGAGCTGGGTGTGCAGTTGCTTACTGGCAAGGGAAAAGGCACTCTGCACGTGTTTATATTCAGCTGCATCAGATGATCGCAGGCCTGGCAGTGAAAAGTACCTCCTGGGGATTGGGTGCTGGTTTGAATGCAAGTCCCTGGGATGCTGTTGGTCCTAATATCTACTTTTCCCACATCTTCCTAGGTGAGACAGTGTCTTTGGTTGATGTCGACATCTCCCAGCGCGGTCTGACGTCCCCACACCCTCCGACGCCGCCACCTCCCCCACGGCGAAGCCTCAGCCTTTTGGGTACTGCTTGTTTCCTGAACTACCTTTTGCGAAACTGCACATTTTGCCCAGAGTCCTTCCTCCCTCCCTCGCCCCCCAGAATAGGCCCTGCCCCATCTTTTCCATCTGCTGCTTTGTAATGATCTTTTTCAGTGAACGGAAGGAAGCCTCTTAAAACCCATTTGGTGTGTAGCACTTCACAGCCTTCGGGTTTTTGTTCTCAGAGAAGCCGCCTTGTGTCATCTTCTGTGCTCTCTTCCTCCCCCTCATCCCCAAATCCTGCGCAGCACTACCAAAACTGGAGCCAAGAAGTTAAATTCAGCAGCCTTTATGCATTATGCAAAGTTGCATGTTTGTTTTTGCATAATTTCGCTGCTTTTGCTACCCATGGTGGAAGGGTAAAGAGTCAAATAGGTCACACTGATCTTTTTCCCTTCACTCCTGGAATTCCTGTTCATACCCTTTTTGGCTTTTGAGATACTGCTTTGTGTCCCCCCCCCCCCCAGTGTTTGTTATCTTTAAAAAAACAAACCCACGTATTTACATAGTTACAACGTCCAGAAGCTGGCTTGCTTTCTAAAAAGAAAAGGATAACTGAGATTCTTGAGACGGATCATTTGTGTGCACACTTGCAAACAAGTCCTTATATAATTATAAAATGGCGCAGCAATAGAACTGCTGGCACATTTGCAAAGCTAAGCAGGGTCCGGTATGGTTTCGTATTGGATGGGAGTCTGCGTGTTGAAATTCCTGCATTTCAGGAGGTTTGGACTTGATGACTCCCGGGGTCCCTTCCAACTCTTATGATTCTTTGATCAGAGATGGGGAGCCTGTGGCCCTCCAAATGTTGCTGGACTCCAGCTCCCATCAGCCCCAGCCAGCGAGCGTGGTCAGGGATGATGGGAGCTCTCTTAGCCCTGCTAGATTTAAGCATACAAAGCTGCCTGCACCTGCCCATTTTGTTCCATCTAGCTCAGGAACTTTGGCAGCATATTATATGTGCAGCCTTAAATTCAATTTCCTTTCTAAAGCTCAGAAGCAGTTGTGTCTCTTTGAATGGACTCCTATCCCCGCACTTGTGCCAACCTCTTGTTTTATGTTGGGCATCAGATCTTCCCCTTGAACAGCTGGAAATGCACTTGGATTCTGCTGTCCTTTAGGATGAATAAACTTCCTGCATTGCGCTTCATGCGCTCCTTTTGTGCGTGGGAGGCTGGCGATGAGAGGGCTGGCGCTTTAACAAAGGAGATGGTACGAAGTGCATAGAAAGCTAGTTGCTATAGAAAGTTTTAGGCTAGATCAGGGTTTCCCAAACTTGGGTCTCCAGCTGTTCTTGGACTACAACTCCCATCATCCCTAGCTAGCAGGACAAGCGGTCAGGGATGATGGGAATTGTAGTAATTAAAAAAACAGCCCACAACTGAAGACCCAAGTTTGGGAAACCCTGAAGTAGGTGTTACAAGAGATATGGAGTCTCTCATCACTTGCTGCTACAGGTAGGACTATGGGCAGCATGGTATCATGTCAGTGTTACAATAAATCAGGGACCTTTCACATTCCTTCCTGGTTGTGGGTGAGGCCAGAATGCGCAGGGTGCAATGTTGTGTTCTAGCCACACAAGCCAAAAGTTTCTACGCGTGTGTGCACACGCATATCTCTCCCATCTTCCGCCCAAGCGAGCAGCAGTAGATAATATCCCAGGTCAAGGGCACTTTCCAGCCTGGCAAAAGCAGTCAAGGAAGGGGAAAAGCAGGCCAGTGATGAAGGAAGTAGTTTGGAGAGAGCCCCGAGGGGCCAGATGGACAGCTGGACAGCTCCTGTGCCTGAAGTTTCCTGCTATATAAAGTCAGGCAGAGTGGCAGCATTGCCAGCGTCTAAAGCGGGGGGGACGGGACTTGTGGTCCTCCAGATGCCAGGGATAATGCAACATCTGGAGGGACGCAGGTGCCCCATCCTTGAAATGAAGCCCTTTTTCGGGGGAACACTGAGTCAGGCCTGTTTGGCACGTCTTCCACCTTTGCAAATGGAATCAGCCAACTGTGGGTTATGGCTTGGCAGGTGCTTGTGGGCTCCTCCTCCCTATTTTGCAGTCACAGACAAAGCCAGGAAGTTTCGCTGATCCCTTGGTGGGCATGTCTGGTGGGCTGTGCTGGCGTGGCTGAACCTTCCAAGCTGTCACACCTGCTTTCTATAAAATATAGCTATTCTACTAAAAACAACAACACCCAACAACCCACCTTCAGCATTTCTCAGATTTAAACGGATTCCTTGGTGCAGCGATAAAATTGCCTGCACATTTGCAAAGCTAAGCAGGGTTTGGTATGGTTTCAAATTGGATGGGGGACTGCAATCTGAGATTCCTGCATTTCAGGGGGGTTGGCTAGATTACCCTTGGGGTCCCTTCTGCCTCTGATTCTATGATCATGTTAAGATCTGGATTTTGCACCCAGCAAGTCAATATATGAACTTTTGCCTCTTCAGCGACACCAGTGTTTGTGTGTATATGTGCGCATACACGTTCAGACACCTTTGTGCCTATGAGAAGTGATTGCTCACATTATTAAATGGTGATAAACAATCCCAGGAATAAACGGCTTACGGGCAACCATATTGACAGATGGGTAAGAGACTATCAGAAGATGAAGTATTTCAGCATCTGAAGTTGTTTCCCTCTCCAACCACCCAAGGAAACTTTTTCTGAAAGGGTAGCTTTTCAACTTAGATACCCAAGATAGCCAACACTTTACAATCTGTGCATGCCACAAATAAGTATGGATAAACCTTTGTGTCTTCACGCTTTTTTTTTTATTGATGTAGAAGACTCTCGAGGTGAATGTTTGGGTCTTGGAGAAGGTGAAGCTAATGCGAGCCTGTCTTACACCCATTTGAGTTTTTCTTAGTTCCTGGACATTTCAATTATTTTTATGTTCTTCTTCTAGACGATATCAGTGGGACACTGCCTACATCTGTCTTAGTGGGTCCGATGGGGTCTTCGTCCCTCCAGTCTTTTCCTCTGCCTCCGCCGCCTCCACCGCACGCCCCGGGTCAGTTTAGCTTTGATCCTCGTGGCTTCCAAAAAATTCCGCTGTAAATTTCCGCCTCCCCTCCCTGGAGCTGGGCTTTCCATTTTAATTATCGGATTTTTGGACTCAAGGCGGTGTGCAAGAAACAGAATAGTACGCAAAAAAAATTGATGGCACTGCATGCAAGGCACCACCCCTTCTGTTTCTCTTGGTCACGCTGGAGATGCCAAGCCATGTGTACAGAATTCAGCTGAAACCCTCTCCTCCTGGCCCCTTTTCAAGACTCCTGACAAATTTTGCCTTGCTCCTATTAGCTACTATGGGATGGTCTGGAGCAGAATTTTGCAGATACTTTAACTTTCAAGGGATTGGAGTAATTGAATATACGGTAGAGTCGTGGGCGTTCTGGGTTGCTATTTTTAACCAGAGCTGCTGCTGTCAGCATTGTTGGTCCTTGGTGCAATGGATTTGACTTGCTGGTAGTGAACTTGCCTGCACTGTCCTGACACTGGTGTAACGGGTGTCTGGAATTGGAGGGGGGAGCACGACCTTAGCTGTGCTCTGCCTTCTTATTTGCTCTCCCATAGAAGTGAGTGGTGGCTCCATAATGCTGCTGTCGCACAGTGAGCCAGCAGTGATACTCATAACCAGTGAAGCTGCTGTACTGGTGGACAGGGCAGCTAAGGGGAGGCAGGGTCAACTGGTTTTCTTCCCATTTTCCTCCCTTGCAAAAATAAAAAAATAGAGCAAATACCTAAGTATGCTTCTTGGACCAGAGCGTCAGAGGGGAAAACTTTGGCCCCTGGAAGTCTTGCATTTCTAGGAGTCCACGTCAAATATCCCTGTAATTTTTCGGCTGGTCATGCCAAAAGTGGTGGGCAGAAAAGCCTCTGGAACAGAACTTTCTGAACTTTTCATGCTGATCTCACACTTTTAAGACATGCATTATTTTGTGACACAGTAACTCAGTTTTGCATCATTTTGAGACACAGTAATTCAGTTTAAAGGGACGCAGGTGGCGCTGTGGGTTAAACCACAGTGCCTAGGACTTGCCAATCAGAAGGTCGGCGGTTCAAATCCCCGCGACAGGGTGAGCTCCTGTTGCTCGGTCCCTTCTCCTGCCAACCTAGCAGTTCGAAAGCACGTCAAAGTGCAAGTAGATAAATAGGTACCACTCCAGTGGGAAGGTAAACGGCATTTCCATGTGCTGCTCTGGTTCGCCAGAAGCGGCTTAGTCATGCTGGCCACATGACCTGGAAGCTGTATGCCGGCTCCCTTGGCCAATAAAGCGAGATGAGCACCGCAACCCCAGAGTCGGCCACAACTGGACCTAATGGTCAGGGGTCCCTTTACCTTTAATTCAGTTTAACTCGCAAACCGGAGGTTAAACTAACCCCTTTCCAGCCCCGGAAGGAGCATGGGGAGTGCTTGCCCGGCACACTTACACACTGCAGCTGACACACACATGTCGCAACACACAGCTCTGCTCTAGAAAAGTTTCTGAATGAACATGACTCAGTGGGATGGTGGGGCATGGGAAGGCTGAGTTACAGGTTTGGATTTTGGGGTGCAGAAAAAAATAACAGTGGGACTCTGCCCCACATTGCCCAGTATAACCTGCCTTGCCGAGTGGTATAACTCAAACAGTATCTCAACCAAAACCATCAAGCACACTTACTAAGCATAATTAGAACCTGCCATTCCCCTTATCAGCGACCTCCTTAAACCAAGGAGTTTCTTGCTACCCACGTAATACAGAATTGCTTCGGAATCAAACGGTCTTCCACTGAGATTTCCCACTAAAGGTGGCCCCAAAAGTATATGACTTTGCTGCCCCTTGTGGCCAAGCAGGGCTGTACAGTATTTAGAATTCCTCCCTCTGTTAGTGACTTTCTTTTATCTAGTGACTTAAACCTCCCAAGATATAGGCACTTTATTACCCCTATAAGTTCCTTGAGAGAGACTGGGTTAAAATTTATTGAACTGAGCTATATTTGAAGGCAGCCTTGGCAACAGCTCCACATCTCTGGAGCTCTTTTTCGTGGATGGAATAAATTATACCCTGCTTTTCACCATCCGGGTCTCAAAACCAGTTTACAAAATAAAAGTGTAAAATATACGACATGTATGAAAAATTGGAGGAATGTAACATCAGAGGAACATTTGCAGTGCAAGAGCCTCCTGGAATAAAGCGGTTCTAACAAAGCAAGGATGATTCCTGTCTGATTTATACTAGGAAGGGATTGCCAGTTTGTGGACCTGATGTGGTTGAAGGTGTTCATCTTTAGGTGAGTTGAGGCTATGGAATAGTTCGTTTTAGCAAAGGCATGTTTCCCGCCTCCTCATTTTTAAAAAGACAAGGGTCATACAGCGGCTTGTTTAAAACTGCCCAGTTAAATTAATAGCCAGAAACAAAGTAGGAAGTCAGCAGAAGCCCTATTAAGAGCTGTTCCATCAGTTGGGGCAATGGTGCAGTGTGTGTTTAGAGTGGGGTTGCCATATTTCAAGAAGTAAATATCTGGAAAGTTGTTGAGGTTTTTGTGTGTGTGCAGTTGCCCTCCAATACAGAGCCTGACCCCAAGCCACCCATGCCCCAGATTGCCAGGTTTCCCCTCCAAAACAAGACATGTCAACCCTACAGCAGTGTTTCCCAGACTTGGGTCTCCAGGTGTTTTTATGGGACCACAGTTCCCATGATCCCTGATCACTTGTCCTGCCAGCTAGGGATGATGGGAGTTGTAGTCCAACAACAACTGGAGACTCAAGCTTGGGAGACCCTGGTCTAGAGACTTGCTTTCCGCAACTGGGAGTGTCCAGTGTCTAGCTTCTGTGTCGCCCCTCCTTTCCCCAGCCCCACCACAGCTTCTGCTTCTTGTGTGGTTCAGCCCCACTCCATCCTTCTGAGACCTGTGGCTGATGCCTCTTTCTTCTGTGGCTGATGTCTCTTTCTTTCTTCAGCAGGAAGCCCCATTAGCTAAAGTAGTACCTCAGGTTAAGAACGGTTTCAGGTTAAGAACAAACCTCCGGAATGAATTAAAGTTCATAACCCGAGGTACCACTGTGTACAAATACCAGTTAATATCAAATTAATTCCAAATTATATAATTTAATCCAAGCGGTTTTCTTGTTTGATGTTTTCATCCAGTTCTTATATTGCTGTAGTGTGTGTGTGTGTGTGTGTGTGTGAGAGAGAGAGAGAGAGAGAGAGTGTATATACATATACGTATACATATACATATACATATACACATATATATATAACTTCTAATTACATTTCAGAGAGTATATTAGGGTTTTGAACAGTTTCTTGGCAGCTGTAGGCCAGAGATGGGGAACCTGTGGCTCTCCAGATGTTGTCAGACTTCAACTCCCATCATCCCCAGCAAACGTCAGTGGTCACTGCTTGTGGTGCAGGGTCTATACCAGGCATAGGTAAACTCGGCCCTCCAGATGTTTTGGGACTACAACTACCATCATCCCTGGCGGACAGGACCAGTGGTCAGGGATGATGGGAATTGTAGTCCCAAAACATCTGGAGGACCAAGTTTGCCTATGCCTGGTCTATACTTTCAGTAATTTCTCTTCATTGTGTTGGGAGTAGGGCGGTAATGTCCTGTTCAGGACCGGCGTAGAATTTTGCTGCCATGGGCAGCTGCCACCAGCCTTCTTGGCTTTTTAATTCCTTGGGTGGCGGCATGTCTTAACCCTTTCCTCTCCCCTTTCAGATGCGTTTCCCCGGATCATCCCGATCAGAGCACCAGAAGCGGTACACAGCCAACCTGCACAGCACCTCCAGTGCCCTCTCTACCGGCCTGACTCGAGCAGTTTTGCAGCTAGTTTGCGGGAGCTAGAAAAAGTAAGGCTGACCTAAACCAAATGAGTGTTGGAAATGTAAAGAGTAAGAAGGATCTCTTTAGCATATGTGGTGGTCTTGTAGTAAGGTTAAAGCTTATTGGGAAATGATACATAATGAATTGAAAAGGATTTTGTTTGTAAAAAACAAAACAGAAGCTTTTCTTTTGGTAATTATAGGGACAGAACTACCTAAACTGTATAGAAACTTATTCATGTATGCTACTACAGTGGCGAGAATGTTACTCGCCCCAAAATGGAAAGAAGCAGAAGTCCCAGCAAAGGAAGAATTGATACCAGAACTTATGGAATATGCAGAAATGGCGGAACTTACCGGAAGAATAAAGAATCAAGATAACCAAACTTTTCGTAAAAGAATGGAAGTGGTTTATTGAATATTTACAGATGAATTGTAAACAGATAAGAATATTGGCAGGATTGTTGTAATAATCTGCAGTTTTATAAGAGTATATATTTAAAGTAGATGAATAAATGAGCAAATTAAGTTAATTTGGATCTGCAGAAAATATTAAAATTAAATTTAAGGAACCGCAGGAAGAAGGGGAAGGAAGTCGAAGTTTTGAAATGTTAAAATGATTGTAAAATTAGCAAAATGTATAAATTTGGAAAGGATAAATAATTTTTTAAAAAACAGAAAAATAGAAAAAGAAAGGCTGAAATATATATTTTTTGAAAGTTCAGCGGAGGTTCTTATGATGGTTCCGTTGTGATGATGCTCGGCTTCCATCGTGAACACAGAGGCTAAAAGTAAAATGCCTCTGTGTGTGGTAAAGTGTGGATTGCCAGAGCTTGCACAGAACCTGTGGTTTTGCTGACCCTATATTTTGCATATGGTTAAAGCTGGTTTGGAACTGGCGTGTGCATGCAGGTCTGGCCCAAGACATTTTGCCACCTGAGGCGGGACCCTAAAATGGCTCCCCTGGTCCCTGCCAAGGAAGAAAGGGCCAGGGAAGAACTACATCAGGAACAAGTGGGGCAAGAAAGATTGAGAGCGGTATCTGCTGCTCCTGTGAATCCTGCCGCCTGAGGTGGTCAGTCACCTTGCCTCATGGATGGGCCGGCCCTGCACGCGTACTCTGCTGTTTTGCAGTCTGGTGTGTCTTATTTTGTAATAACGTAAGGGAAAATAAATGACTCATGCTTCTCTGGTTCTGTGCCAGTGAAATTCCTCTAACAACTTTACAGGGAACTGCCTACTTGAGTTATGCCTGGATGATTTAAGTAATCTTTTGCTTAGCGTAAATTAGTTCAACCCTGTTTTCCTTAGCTAAGCCAGAGAGTAGGTGCTGGAGCTGGAATGTACAGCCACATGCTTGTAAAAGTTTGCTGTTTAATCAGATTGATTCCCATTTATCCCACAATTCCAAAAACAAAACACATTGGCTTGTACATAAAACTGCGGTTCTACGCAAGCTACAGACTTCTGTTTGTGCAACCGACTTTCCCGGCCATCTTCCTTCTCTCCTGCAGTTCCCTGATCACCATCAAAATCTGCTCCAGATTCTGGAGTAGATTTTGGGGGCAGGGGGAACAGCACAGCGAAAGGATGAGGAAATCCCATTGTGTGGAACGTCACTTAGACAGTGTTGCAAAGACAAATCATTATGCTGTGACAGTAAGCTACAAAAGGCTTGGAAAAAACCTAACTGGTTTCCATGTACCTTTTAATTAAAATGTCCCTCCTCCTCCTCCTCCTCCTCCTCCTTCTTCTTCTTTGAACAAAACCAACAGTGCGGTTGGTACTGGGGACCAATGAACTGGGAAGATGCTGAAATGAAGTTGAAAGGGAAACCTGACGGGTCCTTCTTGGTTCGTGACAGCTCCGATCCTCGGTACATCCTGAGCCTCAGCTTTCGATCACAGGGTATAACCCACCACACCAGAATGGAGCATTACAGAGGTGAGCCTTGAGGGCAGGGCAAGGGCATTAACCTAGGGTGGCATCCTACTCACCTTGCAGAGAAGGTCAAGTTCACACCGAGAGGAATCTGCCCAAGGGAGCATCTGTGATAGAGGTTGGACTCTTAAGCCTGATCTCTCAGTGCTAGCATTCTATCTACTCACCTGTGCAGATTGCCGTTATTTTGTAGAGTCTAGGGGACACACTTTCACATACCAAATGGATGTTCTTCCACCCTCTGCTTTTCTGTCCAACATGCCCCTTAATGTTCCTTCATTGGCAGGGACCTTCAGCCTTTGGTGCCACCCCAAGTTTGAAGACCGCTGCCAGTCCGTGGTGGAGTTCATCAAGCGTGCCATCATGCACTCCAAAAATGGGAAGTTCCTTTATTTCTTGCGATCCAGGGTTCCAGGTATGTATTTAAATGTGCGTGTGAAACATTTAGATGCTTTTGATTGTGAGATCCACTACACTCCTAACACATAGCAGATGTGTAGGGCCAAGTCTTTTACTAGAAGGAGAGCGGGGGCTCAGGCAGTGGCTGGAGAGGCTTCCAGCAAGTGTCCAATACAGGCAGTGGCTGGAGAGGCTTCCAGCAAGTGTCCAATACAGGCAGTGGCTAGAGAGGCTTCCAGCAAGTGTCTAATACAGGCAGTGGCTGGAGAGGCTTCCAGCAAGTGTCCAATACAGGCAGTGGCTGGAGAGGCTTCCAGCAAGTGTCCAATACAGGCAGTGGCTGGGGAGGCTTCCAGCACTCACTTGGCCTCATGCTCCTAACAAATATCTTTCTCAGATGTTTCTGAGATAGCTGCAGACATATTTCCTGAGAAGTTCTCCCCCACTCCCAATGTATTTATTTACTTACTTTTAACTTGCAGGTCTCCCTCCGACCCCTGTCCAGCTCCTCTATCCCGTCTCTAGGTTTAGCAACGTTAAATCGCTACAGCACCTTTGCCGCTTCCGGATAAGGCAGCTGGTCCGCATCGATCACATTCCAGAACTACCGCTCCCCAAGTAAGGTTCCGTTCTGTGCTTTGTTTTGTGTTTTTTCCAACTCCATTTTAAGGAAGACCCTAGGTACAGAAATCTCGCTGCTGTATCTTCTTCATCATTGTTCTGTCTAATAACAAAGCCAAGAGGTTGTGTGTATATCAGTTTGGAAACTGAATGGGGTCATCCAAAGATAAGGCTTTTGAGTTTTTTACTGCATGCTCAGGGGACTTCTAAGATATGAAGAGGTATCTAGGTTTGTAAAATTAAGGTGTTTTTGTTTTGTTTTTTTTAAAGGAAGACTTCTGAAAAAAACAGTGACCTACAGAAAGTTGGACGGGAGGAGGGAGTTGACCTGTGTGAGCCTTTAATAACTTACAGCAGGGATTCCCAAACTCTGTTCTGTGGGAACCCCAATGACCCCTCACCTTCATTTAGGCAGCCCGTGGGTATCTCTGGTTGGGCATGGCACATCCATTGCAATAAATAGTCCTAGTTCAGTTGCATTTTTATCGCTTCTACAGAATTGAAACTGGAATGCAATATGCAAGAGTTAAAAGAAGCAATGAAAAACACACGTCATGCAGCACCTAGCATGGCGCAGTACATTGGCTACCACGGGCAGGAAAATTTTCAAGTGGTCCACCAGGATTCTCAGCAATTTGGGGGTGGGGGGCGGGTGGGTGGTTTTGGAAGCTACTCTCCTAGAGGTGGTGATGCAAATCAGCATGTGATTAAAATGCCCCTCCCTTGCTATATACAGTAGAAGAAACTTGAGAATGGGATAACTTTTGGACCCTCTTTCTGCACAGCCAGTGGTATCAGGGATGGTGAAGTCTTTAGCCCAACAGTATCTGGGGAGAGACATAGGTGCCCCTTCCCTTCCTTGGGTGTTTGTGTCACTTAGGGTTAGGTTGACACGTAGCACATTGCATACTCTGTGACTGCAGCATCAAGCAGGGAGTTTCCTGTGTGACTATAGAGCAGGGTTTCCCAAACTTTTTGGACTACAATTCCCATCATCCCTGACCACTGTTCCTGCTAGCTGGGGATGATGCGAGTTGTAGTCCAACAACAGCTGGACACCCAAATTTTGGGAAACCCTGATCTAGAGCATGGGTAGGCAAACTAAGGCCCGGGACTGGATCCAGCCCAATCACCTTCTCAATCCGGCCCACAGACATTCCGGGAATCAGTGTGTTTTTACATGAGTAGAATGTGCCCTTTTATGTAAAATGCATCTCTAGGCTATTTGTGGGGCATAGGAATTGGTTCATCCCCCCCCCAAAAAAAATAGTCTGGCCCCCCACAAGGTCTGAGGGACAGTGGACCGGCCCCCTGCTGAAAAAGTTTGCTGACCTCTGAGTATCACAGATGCAATGCTAGAGATTTTTATTTTATTTTAAGCATCACCCCACATCACTCAAATGTGATTTTTTTGGGGGGAGGGGGGAAGCTGGTTCGCACAAACACACACAAACTGAATGGCGTCAGATGGAGTGGAGTAATCCAGTGGTGGCAACAAGACCTTGAGCAATGGCATTCCAGACTAGCACTCCACATCAAACGGTGGCAGGGAGGGAGGGAGAAGGACCAACCTTTTTCCAAGCACCCGCAATGTCTGCTGCTGTTGCACTCTGGGATAATGGGATGTTGCCTGGAGCAAACGGCTTGCTTGAGGGGAAACACCTGGGGATTCCACAAACGAGTAGTTGCTCTGCAATTTTTTGTTGTGCTGTAAATTGCCTGGAAAGGCCCCAGGGTAGAGGGAGTTATCTGTGATACTCTCCTTCCCGCACTTACAGGTTGAACTAACTAGTGGTGTTAGAAAAATGTTTAAGAACTTCCTATGTGTTGGTTACAGAGGGAAGCGTGCTGAGCTGGGGTGGTGTGGGGAAGGAAGCTAATTCTGGCCCTGGAGCTGTTAACTTTTTCCTGGGAGAGGCAGAGAGTGTGTGAGAGAGAGAGAGCAGAGAACCCAGAAGTTGAGGACAGGGTGCAGAGGCCTTAGGATGGCTGAATTCCAACAAGAGTTTGAACATAATTAGATCTGGGCATCATCTGCAGTAGAACACAGTTTTAAGTCTCTTCCTGTATATGTCGGTCCTTCTCTTAGTGCAGGGGTGGGGAACCTTGGGCACAGAAATGTAGCCCTCCTGCCCTCTCTGGGGTTCTTCCCACGTCACCCCAACCCTCCTCCATCCCCTATTCCTAGCTGGAATGTGTCCCCTGAAGGATATCCTCTGCTTGCCTGGATGATGAAGAGGAGAGGGTATTTGTGCTTGGAACCCTCCGACTCTCCCGCAGTTGAAACATTGCCTAGAAAGGGAGGAGTTGCACCCATCGCTCTGCTCACTTTTGCCTGTAGTCCTGCCCTCCCCCACTGAAATGTGGCCCCTGGCAGGTTTATTTTTGAGGCCATGCGGCCCTTGACCTGAAATAGGTCCCCCAGCCTCTATCTTACTGTGCCTTCCCTCTTTTTTTCTGTCCTCATGATAATCCTCTTGGAGCAAGGGGGTATAGGGTAGCCCCAGTCGGTGGGTTCCAAACTCCTACCCATTGAAGATGGACGTTGTGTTTGCAGAGATAACCCCAGTTTCGATTTGCAGCCATTTCCGAGTCTTTCTTTATAAGTAAGAGGGAGGTGATTCACTTCCGCTCCACAACCCACAAGATCTCTTGAGTGTCCCTCGGCTCTCTGTTCCCTTAGGCCTCTGATCTCGTACATCCGCAAGTTCTACTACTACGACCCCCAGGAGGAGGTGTATCTCTCCCTGAAGGAAGCTCAGCTTGTTTCCAAACAGAAGCAAGAGGCAGAGTCTTCAACGTAGCGAGGGCCCCCCCTCCCGCCTTGCTGCTGTCACCAATGGTAACGTAAAAAATTATTGCATATACAAGGGTTGGAGCAGGGATTCTTCATCTGCGACTCCTTTCTAGATGACTATGCGGTCCCTTCCAACTCGACAGTTCTACAGTGAGGAACCTGTGGTCCTCCAGAAGCTGCGGGCCTGTCAACTCCCAGCATCCCTGGCCTATTGGCTGTGCTGGCTGAGGATGAGGGGAGTTGGAGCCCCTGCAATATCTTGTTTCTCATCCATAGGCCACACCACACAGTATTTCTCAAACTTTGCTGTTGTTAGACTACAACTCCCATCATCCCTATCTAGCAGGACCAGTGGTCATGGATGATGGGAGTTGTGGTACAGCAAGGGTCTTCCTTTAGAAAGAAATGAAGGCTCGGAGTCTGGGACTCGGTGGGCCCCTGGTGGTTTGGGACTCTGGCTGTATCGATCGCTTTTGCCAATGAAACAAAGGGGTCTTGAGGGATGGAAGGACAGGGAGGAAGGACACTTGGAGGATAGGGAATTCATACTGGGAAATATTGTCCTTGGAAACTTACGGCATTATTGCCAGACATTAGAAAAACTTGTTTCATGGATTATTTTTTTCAGTTAGTTTTTCCTCTTGGTGGTTTTGTCTTCTGCTTCTGTTGTCTTTATCACCTTTTCCTGGTGGTTATTTTAGTCAGGTAATTTTAGGCTCCAGGCTTCATGGTCTTACAGGCGCCTTTTGGGCTTCACAGAGGACAGCCCTCTGTTTTTGAAGGGCTGTTCGGTCCAAGGCTACTTTAAAAAGCTGTAAGGAAGGAAATCCACGCAAGTCTGAAGTCTGAATCGGTGCTATGCAGGCATCATGCTTATAAGCTCTTCTTCACAAATATAAAAGCTGGAAATTTAATTTTTTTAAAAAATAGAATCCTTCGGGATTCCACACTTGTACCAATGCGAAGTTCTGTCCTGTCACAGAAGCGCAAAGTATATGCAGCCCCAGCCCTTTGGTCTTTTCATTTTTTGGATTTGCAAAAGCAAGGATCTGATGCCATTTGGCTCTGTCTAGTGGTCTGAACTTAAATGTTGTTCCCCTCTGTCTTTCTTCACCCATCCCAAATTAGGAATTCGGTCACCAGTATCCTGTCGCTGTGGAAGCCGCGTTGGAGACGACTCCCGGCGCTTGCTTTCTGGCTGTTTCTTGGCCTCCAGAGAGGACCCAGGGCTTGAAAAGAAAGCACAGCTGTGCGCAGAGAAACAGGAGCCATGACCCCATCTGGTTCCATAACGATATTTTGGAATCTGCCGAAAACTGGACTGCAAGCTCCTGGAAACATGGAGAATGTCATGATATTTTTCTTCTTAAATTTATATTTTTTGGTGCTTCCCTCCCCCTCCCTCCCCTTTCTTCCAGCATGGGAAATAGTGAGCCGGTTTTTACATTTTGTTGACCTGTCTGGCATTTTTGGGCTGGGGGTGGGCTTTGGGGGGCTGGGGTTGAAGGTGCAGCAGACTCTTGAGACTTAGCGAGCCGAGAAAACAAACCAACCCCGGTGTTTCCCTGTCAAATTGTCCTTGTGGGAGAACACTGCTTTTGAAAGCAGGGCCTGAGCCCAAGGTATACCCAGCTGTATCAAGCAGTTGTGTTGGGGATGTAAGGCCAAAGGCAGAGGGGAGCAGAGGGGGGGGGTTGGGGAGGGCAGCGAATGATGAGCTGAGCTGTGGCTTCCTGCTCCATAAGGAAGGCTGGGATGGAGGAGCAATCAGCTTGTTCAAACAATGGAAAATCGCCATGGCATTTTAAGGGGTGTTGGCTGGGCCTGGCCAGCTGGGCCAGAACGCTGTTGCCTTCCTTCTGATGAAAATGGGATGCGGATAGCATTGTGAAGCTTTTTCCCCCACTGCAAGTGCTGTTAGCTGTCTGTCTCTGCCTTTTCCCTCCCGCCGCTATTAACACAGGAGCTCCAAGCTGCTGTGGTTTATTTCCTTATATCAGGTGGAAGTAAGATGCAAAGCTGGGCACCTGAAGCCAGTTTCGGAGCTGCCCATCTCAACCTGTCTCTCCGAAGATCACCTGCTAGATAAGTCAGACTTGGCCAAAGGAAATGCCTCCTTGAATCTTCTTAACATGCGAAGCACCTTAGCCCCAGGCCCCGCTGTGCGAGTGGGAAGGAGAAAACGAAAGTCTGGAGTGAGCTTTCCATGGTTTCCCGTCCAAGGAAGACAGATATTCTCATCTTCTAGCCCTAGTGGGAAACTTGCTAAATACAGAGAAATATTGTGTGTTGTCTTAATGGTTCACCCCACAACAGCAAGGAGTGGGATTTTTTTAAAAAAATTATCATAGCAAACCAGCTCACAGCTGTTCAGAAGTGATTTTGACATCTGAAAGGTGCATTTTCTGTGTGGGTTTGATAAATCCTCTTTCCATGTCCAGCTAAAGGTACTTGACATAATTTCTTGGTGATTTTTTTTTAAGCTGTGATACCTTAATTTATTATTATTATTATTATGTTGTAAAGCTTGCTCCATATTCTGTGAAAAAAGAGTTTTACCTAGGCTCCAGCCTCCACTTCCGGAAGTCTACACTCTACACACTGGATATAGCAAACTGTGAGGCTTATAGTCATTGAGACTTTGGAATATTCTTAAGAAGAACTAGAGGATGGCTAGTAGATTGTCTTCTAAAAGCTGAACCATGAAAAGATCGCCTCTGTTAAAAACAAAAACCCAGGGGCTTTTAAGGAAAGCAGACCTCTCTTCTTTCCATTCATACTTGGTGCGTTTCGAGGTGGGCTCCAAAATTTAGTTCCTCGCAACTTCTTGTGCAGGAGCTCCCAAAACAAACACACGCCCTTGGATCTCATTCTCCTGCTTTGTTCTTCAACTGGCTCTTGATTGACTTCCTGGGCATCCATGTTTGCTCTGCCCCCAAAGAAGGCTCTCTGTCGCCCATCTTTGCACGATTGCGAACTAAGGGAACTGAAGATGCATTGAGCGGTGGAACTGGTGCCCTTCCCTGGAGGTCTGTCGTCTTGCAACACAGTTCTTACAGCAGCCAAGACAACTTTGTGTAGACATGAGCCAATGAAGGAGTTGGGTGTGCCCTGCGATAGGAGATGGGAAAGCTATAGGTTCCTGGAACTCTTCCCCTTGACTTGTTCCCGATAACACTGGGGAGAGGTGAGAAGAAGGACCTCGCCCTCTGCTGCAATACATGGGGCCATGTTGCTTTTGGAGCTGTGCCATTATTTGTGGCAGCAAATAGTGCAATCCTGGGGGAAAAGAAGGCTTGCTGACGTGCAACTACTGAACACTTTCCATGCCAGGAATGATCATAAATGAACCAGACGACCCTCCTGCGTGTGCATTTCGATATAGAATGATGCACTGGAAAGACAATCCATTTTGTTCTAATGTGCTTGGAGAGTTTGTGTGTGTGTGTGTTGCTGCAAAGGAGGACTTAAAAAAGGTGCTGGAATTAAGTTTCAACTACCAAAAGGAGATTGAAGATTCTGCTCCTATCTGCAAAAGAATGCCGTCGCTGCCTCTCTAGTGAATAGTGCAAAGGCCTGGGACTGCATTGTAGGCTGTCTCAAGTTTTCGTGGTTTCCCAGCTCATCGTATCTGCTCTCCTCAATTGAAATGGCACACTTCCTGATCTTTGGTGGACTTGGAGAGTTTTTTCCTCTCTGTCTGTCTCTCTCTCTCCCCGCATCCCCCAGCCTTGTTTCCCACCACCCCCTTGAAAAATATTTGGTTCAAGGAAGAAGAAGAGACCAAAAGGTCTCACAAACCTGCCGCCTCCAATGGTGCTGGGTGGAAACGTTTCTTAAAATCCTGTTCAAACACGCACAAACCGTAACCCAGTGCCGGAAGCCTGGTATCTCCTCGGAGCCTCCCGCCATTTTGTGGAACTTGGAACACCTCTAGAACTCTGTTGACTGACTGCTAAAAGTAGCAAAGGCCAATCACGTGTAAATAACTTGCAGGGAGTCCTGTGGCTTCCCTTGGCCGCTGTTGCGTCCATCTTAGTCCACTGCTGTAATGGATTTCCTGTGAAAGGAACCTCTCTTTTTTAAAATCTCTCTTCCCCTCCTCCAGCCATTTGGTTTAAATTCTTCCCTTGTTGGGGCTGCTTTTGATGAGTTTTCTATTTTTGGGAAATGTGTGAGTCGTCGTGGGTGAGTGTCGGGCAGCAAGAATTAAATTCTGCACTGTAGCTTTCTGTCGTCTGTCTGTGCTCCTGACTGAATGGTTGCTTTGGTGGGTCTCTGACGGAGCGTCTCATTTTTCCATCCTTTTGCAATAGCAGAAGGGGTATGCGTGGGATGAAAAAACTGTTACACTCCGGAACAAACTGGCGTGTGTTTTTGGCTTTGCTCTCTGTCTTAGAATCATTTGCCCTTTTTAAAAAATATATATTTATTTTTATTTATTTGTTGTGTTCAGGTTGGATCTGGGAGTTTCTTGGTGTATCGCCTCCGTGTGAGGCAGCCTTTGGACAACCTGGTGCCAGCCACATGTTTGAGACTACAACTCCCATCAGCAACAGCTGGGGCTGATGGGACTTGTAGTCCAGGGTGTCTGGGGGGGGGGAACCAGGTCGGTGCAGGCTGCTATAAGGTCTACATTTTATTCCTTACTTAAGTTAATTTACAGCTTCTTCCTCCCAGCATATGGAACTAGGAAGTACACTGTGGGTACTTTTCTCACCCTGTGGTCAGTGATGCCTCTTGATAAAATTTAGAATTTGGAGTGGGGGGGGGCAGGCTTATCAATCTGTGCTTACTTTGGCTGTGTGGAAGAACAATATGCCCATAGGTTTTTGATGTTCGCCATGGGATGAGAGCCAGTGTGGTGTAGTGGTTAAGAGCGGTAGACTCGTAATCTGGTGAACCGGGTTCGCTTCCCCGCTCATCCACATGCAGCTGCTGGGTGACCTTGGGCTAGTCACACTGAACCCTGTGAGGGCCGCATCCCAGCGGGGGGCCAGAGACAAAATGTCAATTTTAGCTTTGTGAACTAGGCTGGTTTTCTACACATACTCAAGCTCCCCCTCTCTACCCACTATTCAGACAAACAAGAGGCATCAAGAGCACACAATCCAGTCCAATGCTTGGGCTGTGAAGCTGGTCTAGTGAGAGGCTGTAGACTTGGGAGTCTGGAGGGCAAGGTGGAGAGGGCAAGGTTCATCCATCCCTGGTATGTCCTCAGTACATTCGTACCTTGGATCTCAAACGCCTTGGCTCCCGAACAAATTGGCTCCTGAACGCTGCAAACCTGGAAATGAGTGTTCCGGATTTCAAACGGTTTTTGGAAGCCAAACGTCCAGCACCGCTTTCTGATTGGCTGCAGGAGCTTCCTGCAGCCAATCGGAAGCCGCGCCTTGGTTTCATAATGTTTTGGAAGTCAAACGGGACTGTACATCCAAAATGCAATGGATTCAAAATGTTACCCACTCTTACTGTCTCCCCTGCTTTTTCTTTATTACTTTTTACTGTTGCATAGGCGCTGTCCGGCCCACAAAGAAACCAAGTCTAGATGCCTTTAATAATAATAATAATAATAATAATAATAATAATAATAATAATAATAATGATGATGATGATGATGATGCTTTGGTTCTTCAAGTTTTAGGGTTTCACAGATTTCTGCATTGTGGAAATATGCACGTGCGACCACCTTCGCCCTGGGTCAGTGGTGCAAGTTTTTCCTTCTGCATTCAGATGAACATAGAAAGTCCAAGGCTGGTTAGATACAAGTCTTTTGGCCCTGTGTGTTTGGATAGAAGTGCATTTTGTTGTGTTCCTCCTACGACCTGGGTTTCAAAACACTATTCATAGGCCAGCTGTCAATAGGCCAGGGTTGAGCTTTTTTTTTTTTTTTTTGAAGACTCCAAAACTGTTGAACTTTTATTATTATTATTATTATTATTATTATTATTATTATTATTATTACAAAAACGCCCCCCTCCAAAAAAGTTGTGTGTCAGCTGCCATCAACTACTTGGCCATAGTGGAGATTTTCCCTCTTGCAAATATGGCTTTAGTTTTGACCTTGATGATGTGACAAAAGCTGTGGATTCCTGCCCCCTCTAAACTTTGAAGTCCTAGCTGCTTCACCTGGTTCCAGCCCATGCAACTTCTAAGCTGCACTTCCTAGCGCCTACAAGTTGTGTGTATAGGGGTTGGCCTTCTGGACCTTGGGCAGTCCTCATATTCTTTTGCGAGCCCAGGAAGAGCCAGCATAACTCAAATCAGTTCTCTTGGCTGGCTGTAATTCTGAATCGATTGCTCAATCAGCTCGCGGCATTGGAAGCTGTACAAAACTGGAAGCTCTTCACAAGTCTTACGGAGGGGTGAAATGGATTAGCCCAGAAATTGGCCTTGTCAATTTCCCTTCTTGGCAACTGCCCCATGAGCTCGTTTGGAGAGCCACCTATCCTTTCATGAACGAACGCTTTTGAAGGGACCGCAAAATTACTCTATGCTCGTAAATAGACTAGTGTTATGAGCTGCTGGGACAGTTCAAAAGGGCTGGGCGGAACAGGGGATGCCTCTGGTAGTTTTTCCATTGCACAAGGTAAAATGGCACTAAAAAGCCCTGCTAAACCCCCCGCTTGATCAGAGAAGGTTCGTGGGAAACGCAAAAGTGAATGTGTATGCTTCGGTAATAACACTGGAAAGCCAGCATTTGTGTACGACTTGAAACCTTGCGTATTCCTCCAGCAACGTTGATTCAGTAAGATCCCACCTGACTGCACTGAAAAGGGGTTGTTGTTTTTTTGTTAGCTATTTTGCTGAACTCCCAAGTTTGCGCTGTGTGTGAGAGTGTGTGTGTGTGTTTAATTTATTGAAATAGCTGCTGTAATTTATTTTCGAAACTATACAAAATGTTTTAAAAGAAACAAAAACCAACCAGACTTGCGGGCCAATCTTAAACGTGTGGGACGGGGAGGGGGAGATGCTTTTATATGAAGATAAATGCACTTTGGGTGTGTTTAAGACATCTTTTGGGAGGGGTTAGACTGTTCTGAGGACTGGGATTTGAATGGCCTTGTCTGTATATATTGTATCAATAGGCACGTTTTTGGTTTTTCATGTGGATACATTTGTAACTGCTGCAGGTGCTGTCTGGAAAACAGATGTACTGAATAATTTTGCCCCAAAGTTGGGGTGGGGGAATCCCCCCCTTCCTTTATTGGGTAAATTTTGTCAACCATGGGAGAGAACTTTGCCTCTCCTGTTTGTATCTCATTTCTATTGTGGGGTTGGTTTGGTTGTTTTTTTTTGTTTTGGTTTTTTTGGGGGGGTCCCCCCTTCTGCCTATGGGTGG